CGGCTTCTGTGAGAGGCCTCGCCGAGTCTGGGGGCTAACCAGGGAGAGCAGCGTATGGAGAAGAAATTAGCGTGTAAAACTGTTGATTTCTACACAACTGCGATTTTATTATCATCATTCCAAATGATTTATTTGAAAATATTACTAAGATTAAAAAAGGTTGATTATGTACTTGGGTGCAGGTACCTGCGTGTTGCAGGCACTGACGGCTGTCAGAAGGTGGCTCCAAAACACACTTCTATTTAGGTACTGTCATGTGGCTTTTATCTGTTATTTTCTGTCATTTATAAAACCATAATATTTGGAAAAGCTGTGATTGCTTAGTATAAACTTTCATGTTAGGGCTATAAAGATGATTAGGGGATGGGAATGTCTCAGGAGGAAAGGCTGAGAGAGCTGGGTCTGTGTAGTCCAGAGAAGACTGAGAGGGGATCTTATTAATGCGTATAAATATCTAAAGGGTGGATGTCAAGAGGATGAGGCCATACTCTTCTCAGTGGTGCCCAGTGACAGGACAAGGGGCATCAGGCACAAACTGGAACACAGGAAGTTCCATCTCAATGTGAGGAAAAACTTCACTTTGAGGGTGACAGAGCACTGGAACAGGCTGCCCAGAGAGGTCACGGAGTCTCCTTCTCTGGAGATACTCAAAACCCACCTGGATGCAATCCTGTGCAACCTGCTGTAGGTGATCCTGCTCTAGCAGAGAGGTCAGATGATCTCTAGAGGTCCCTTCCAACCCCTGCCACTCTGTGAATCTGTGTAAAGTGTGTTTTTTGCCCCCGCCTCCTTTCTCTAAGCTATTTTCTTCTACTCCTCTCTAGTTCTTTGTATGTAGCATAGTTGTATAATGCAAGTAAAATGTTTATCCACAGAGTCACTTGAATGGCACTGTAAAACTGTGTGGTGTAAAAGCGTATAACCACACAAATACTTTAGAATCAAAAAGAATTGGTGATTGGTGGAAAAAACGCAACAACTTTTGTATGTTTTCTTTGCAGGAAATTGCTGTTTACAAATCTACCTCAGCTTTTTGATAAGCAGACATGGTGAGAACAATAGCACTTCTAATATATTTTCATTCTTTCTGAAATGGTCATCTTTTGGAAAGTGAATAGCTGCTCTGCATCTCAAAGGATTATACATTCTACTCTGATGCTGTGGAGAACTTGTAATAAAAAGTTTAGGTTTTCATTTCAGACTTCTAACAAGATATTGTGAAAAGGAAAATAGGTCAGTTTACATCAGTCTAAAATATAATTGGACTTTCAATTCTAAGATTCTAAATTTTAATTCTACTTTGACTAATATCTGGTAATCTATTTTGGTTTCTTTTAGCACAGAAGCATTGTTCAAGTTGCAAGCACATAGCCCTGCTTAAGTGTATGTAATCTTCTACACTTGCAAGCTTTTAAAAGTTTAGAAATTGGGAAATAGAGATAAGACTGTGTGTCTTAAACTGTACATATGCCTTCTTTAGCATCTTCACAGACATTGCAGGCAACTATCTTCTCTTGTTTACTTTATACTACTGGATGCTGTTTTTTTATTAGTTTTCCTGTAGGCTTACCCCATATAGCCCCACAGTAATTGTTTTTGCATAGTTTAGCGCTTTTCATGGGAGTCCTGCGATATACTTGGCCTACAGAAATACATTTGCTTAGGTGACTGGGTAACTGCCATTTTAAATTTTATGAAGGTTTTAAATTCTTAAAAGTGTAGATTTTTGTAGATTTGCTTGTTTGTGAAGGCAGATTATATACAGTGCCATTCAGAACTAGACTTACCACTCAGAAGGTTGCAGGCAAGTAGCACATATCAGTTGTTCTTCTGGTTGTAAACCAGTGAAGTATGTGCACCACACTATCACCTGAAATAGATATAAACTTGATTTTTCAACTTTGTGATTAAGTGACTGAGTAGGTCCAGTTTGCAAATGAATAATGTATCTCTGGAGTGTAACAGCATGAAACAGAGCTTCTGCATTAGCGTAGCAAACTCGATGTGTTCTGAAACTAAATGAAAGCAAGTGTTTTATGGTGACTTCACTGGAAATGTGGAAGGTTTGTGACAGTAGCCTTGGCTATGGCCAAGTATTAAAACAATGGTTATATGCAGTGGCAACTTGCAAGTTCTTGATGGGACTGGGAAATAAAACTCTGTCTGTTAGTATTTCATTGCTGATTTAATGATTATTTTCTGCCTCTTGCTCAGGCTGTCACGCTGCATACCGATGTAGGAGATATTAAAATTGAACTGTTCTGTGAGCGTACACCAAAGACTTGTGAAGTAAGTCAGGTATCAGGAGCGGGATTGCCTGGTGTTGAAGCAAACCAACAGAAATAGTGAAGGCTGTAGAGGAGGTGAAGTGGCTGTTGCAATTCATCTTTTCATGTAATGGAATGCTAACATTGTAAGCTGGTACAGTGCCTGTTCCACTTGTGGAATTTGTGTGCTGTGTCATACTTCCTAGAGCTTTGCTGCCTGTTTCTCACAAGAGAAGGTTTAGCTAAGGGCTGCTACTCTCCAAGTTCTAGCATCTCCCGAAGTCCTGTAATGGGAAATACAGCATATGACCCAGGATTCCCAAATTTCTCTGAGTTTACTCACACAGATTTGATTTTAATTCAAAAGAGTGAGAATCACTCCCAGTTTGTCAGAGGCCCCAGGATTTCCTTTCTGCAATAAACTTAAGCTTAAATTTAAATCATTTACTTCTTAACAAGCATCACTGAGGCACGAAGTTATTGATTACAAAATTACATTTACAAAATAAAAATGTTGAATGGAAGTGATACTTCTGAGCTTGTCTCAGGCTTCTTGTTTGTTCTTCAAGTCAGTCAACCTTGTGCTGTAAGCTTTATTTTAAATCCTTTGTATCTGTGACAGTGTCAAACAAGCATATTAACTATAATTTGTTCATGACTATTCTGTGGCAATGCTCTGTGGAATTCACATGGTCACAATGTGAAGCAGAGGCAAAAGGGTTAGGCTTGGTCTAACAGCCAATGCTGTCATTTAGTAAGAGAGGATACTATTTCTGAATTGTTTGTTAATATGGTTTGTTTCATTTCCTTAGAATTTCCTGGCTCTTTGTGCTAGTAACTACTACAATGGCTGCGTGTTTCACCGGAATATAAAGGGCTTCATGGTTCAGACAGGGGATCCATTAGGTAACTTTTGTCAGGGTCTCTCTACAGAAAAATGTACATTAAAATAAAATATTTTAAAAAAAGTATGAATATTAAAATCAAAACGTAAGGTAAAAATAAAAGAATTATATTGTTGATAGAGGTTTTCATGATGAGATTAGTTTTTTGTGGTGAGCTTACAGAAGAGCAGCTGTTACTCTAGTTCTAAATAATCATGCAGTAGTAAAGCATTCTACAAACTTTAGGGTTTTTTTCCAGCTGTTTCCACTAAATGATGGTTCTGCTGCCTTATCAACTGTTGAACAGGTAGCAGCTGCTACTGTGGTTTCTCTGTTTTCTGCCTGAAAGACTACACTGTCTCTAAAGCATTTGGGGAAAATGTCCCAGACAGTGTCAGCTGTTTGGGAGAATACCTGATTCAAATGTGTGTCTGTTTGTACTCATACTGAATTTAATATGAGGATAGGTCAGTGTTTGTTCTGCTACTCAACAGGTGTTCCTTATATAGAGTTAGGTCTCTGCTCAATATTAAGACATGAGAACCTGATCCCTGCCTCAAACAAATTACAGTCTATCTAGGGTCTTTGTTGTAAAATTTTGTAATAGTACATTGTTTCTGCAGTTTTCAGTCTGAAAATCCAGTAATCTATTGTGGTGCTTCTTTGTCAGGCACTGGGAAAGGAGGTAACAGCATCTGGGGCAAGAAGTTTGAAGATGAATTCAGTGAATACCTAAAGGTATATCTGTGCTCTCAATATCCAGTTATGTTTTCATATGAATTTTCTTTACAGGTTTGGAGGACAGTCAGCATTGTGTTGTACTGTATTAAATACCTTTTTTGTATTTGTGAAGCAAAGTATAATCTTGCAGTAAGGGGATAGAAAGCTTATTATTGAAATAGGAACAGGCATTTCTGTACTTGGCAAGTTAGGTTTGAGGGTTTTCATCTCTGAGAAGTAGAAAGAATTTGTAACAAAGTATTTTTCATGCATTGAAGGCAAAGAAGTAATCTTTTATTGTAAGAGCAATTTTGAGGAGCTGATTATGGACTGTGATGGAATATATTAGCAACCAAGATCTGTTGTTAATAATGGTATTGAGGCAGAGTACTAAGTCACAGAGCACTTTGTACAGGTGAAAGTCCTGCTTTCACAGATGTGTATTCATTGTGGGTTTTTTTCCTCTCTTTCAGCACAATGTCCGTGGCGTAGTTTCAATGGCAAACAATGGTCCGAATACCAATGGATCGCAGTTCTTCATCACTTATGGCAAGCAACCACACCTAGACATGAAGTACACTGTGTTTGGAAAGTAAGCGATCTCACTGCATGCCTCTTTATCATAGTGTGTGAAGGATATGAATATTTCAGGGCATGTGCAATGCAAATTTAGAAGCTTCTGATTCTAAAACTCATTGAAATAATGGGTATGTATATGGAAATGTATGCTCTTGCGCTGTCACCAGAATTAGTTGCTCCAAAATGCTGCTCCATTTTTCTTAGTAGTAGAGAATTCAGTGGAAATAGGCATATTAAAAATTACTTCAAGAATGGAGCTTTTTTCTTTTCTTTCCTATTTTTTTTCCCCCGCTAGTTAAGAGCTTGCTTTTTCATCCATGCCCAAACAGATGCAGCCTGATTTTAAGCAAACTGGAACAACTGGATACACAGTTGTAGGGTTTACTGAGAAGCATGAATCTGATTTGTGACTGGATCTGGGGATGGGTATGGTACTGACATGGTCATGCTTCTGTTTAGGTGGAACTTCCTGTTGGTCAGACAAAACTCATGGAACCAACAGTTTATAAAATCAGATGGTGTTGTTTAAGATGCATCATTATTTTAAAACATTCTTATGTTAATAGATGCTACTGATAATATCCTTAAAGCAAATGTTGAGTTTTTCAGGTATTGCTTTTTCTATCTCAAAATCATGGTAGTGTCTTTTCTTTTGCTTGTTCTTAAGAAGTCTCTAGTGTACAAGTGAATCTGCTGAGAAAAATTTGCCTTTATTAAATGGAATTAAATATTAATTAAATAGTATTTTCACATTACTTGTTTATAGGCATCTAAGTATAGGTGTTCCTTTCATTTCTGAGTTTTAGAAGTGTGATTGAAAGTAGGTGTTTTAGACATCTTTCTTAGAAGAGTAAAGGCTCAGACAGATGAACTTTGCCAGGTTTTCTGTGGCAGTTTAAGATTCTCCTGCCCTAGTTCCAGAATCAGCAGAACAGCCTATGCAGTCTCTGCTGGCCCACAGTCCAGCATCCTAGATTCAAAGAGTTCATGAATGTGACTGAATTGAACTGTGAACAGCACAACATGTTTTCTGCCAAGTCCATTACCGGCGAATAAACTGCCAAGGTTTACCAGAGCTAGTTATTTAAACTAAAAGATGTTTATTAGAACAATCTCTCTTGTCACCTCTTCAGCCTGAAGAGGAAATCTGAAAGCCTAAATTTATTTGTGCCATTAATCTACACAGTTATTAATGATTTTGTCCAATCTTGTCTTTGAGTCAGAAGGTTACAAATTATAATCTCACCCTCAGAAACTGATTTTCCAGCCATAGGATTTCAGTTATTCGCGGTGAAGTTTGGTATGGCTAGTATCTTGCTGCAACTTAAACCTGTACTAGGACTGGTCAGTCCTGCCTGCCAGGAAGTGCAGCCAGAGTCTTTATACAGCTATGGTTGATATAAAATACGATACTGTCAGGTCAGTGGGAATTACTTGTACTTTTTCTCAGAATCTGTCATGGATGCTTAATAATTCCTTTCAAAATATGTTATATGCCATGTATAATGTTTTGGCTGTCTTACTTGAATCATTTGTTTGCAAAGTCCTTGCCCTATGATACTTAACTGTAAAGTGCTTTCAGATATCCCAATTGTGAAATTTAAATCATTATTAGAAGAAGATTCCTAGCACTTCTGCTTTTCTTCCAGAGTTATTGATGGCTTGGAGACCCTGGATGAGCTGGAGAAGCTGCCTGTGAATGAGAAAACCTACCGACCTCTTAATGATGTTCGCATTAAAGATATTACAATTCATGCCAACCCTTTTGCTCTGTAGCCACAGAGTGCCTCAACACATTCTTTAGAGACTGGTCAGATCAACTGCTGGATTATGGGGTTTAAAGTGTCATTAAAAAGGGTTGCTTGAGCTGGATCATACCTTTGCTCATTGAATGCAGGATTTTCAGGAGTTGTGACATTGTTTGGGAGTTGTCACAGAGGAATCTTGTGCTTTAGAAGCTATTTTTTCCAGGCTATCTTCCAGGATTTTGATTTTTTAACATTGTTTTTATACTTGTAAAATAAGAAATTACTTTTCAAAATACTTTTTTTTTGCAAATCTTTTTCTGCCTTATCTTTCTTAGTGATACTATGTTGAAACAATGTCCTTTGCTACAATTTCATACTACCAGTTTTCTGAACCTTTCTTTCTTTACTGATTTTTAGAAAACTGAGTAAGATAAGCAATTTTTTCCCCTAGGTGAGAGCAGTGTCATAGATAGATGAAACCTTTCTCTCCTAGAGGATTAAAGACCGTGTTTAGAGGAGTGCTTGCTCTTGTACTGCTGTGATCGGAAACAGTCGCTTCTGCCTCTAGCACAACGCTTTTGCTATGAAAGAGTAAGTGTTTGTGTCTTTACATAGCTGTTGATCGAAACTGGGTAACCATGGATTTACTTTAACTTGGTTTTCATCACTTTATTGCACAAATAATAGGGGGTAAACACAACAAAGGGTAGTGACAAAAAGACTCTGGTCAGACTTCTTATCAAGAATATCCTGATAGGCCCAAAATAATAACAGATACTGTGGTCAAGATGATGTTGAACAAATAAGAGAAGGCTGCTATTTGGTCTTATTTGAAACCACGTTGTTGGACTCAAGTAAGAAAGTCAGCAAGAAGGTACAGAGATATCTGAATATTGACAGGTCAAGAGGAAAAATAAAATATATGCATATATATGCATGTGTGTGTATATATTGCTGATCCTATGATGAAGTTACTTAGTATAGTAAGTGTAAAATAAGCTGATCTAAGCAGGGAAAAGAGTGATTTGTACACATCAAAAAGGCAGTTCTCTGCCTGCTGGGAACAGCAGAATGTTCTACTCTTCCTTGTAGATTTTAAAAATGCATTTTGGCAATAGTTTGTTTTCATGAAGTAGGAAAAAATCAACTCATTTGCACAGAGTTCCACTTGCTGATTGTAAGATGTAGAGGTGAGAGGGTATATTTCTAGTTCCAACTGTGCATGGGAGACCTGGACAGGAGAGAGTACCCACAGTTCCTGTATCCAACTCCTACCATTCAGGACTCCCCCAATCTACTTGGACTCAGTCAACATCACTTAGCAAAGTCCATTCTCATATATATATATATGCACCTTGTAATCCTTGGGAGGTCCAGATTCCAGCTGACTTGCAGTCTGCTTCAGACGAGTATTTCCCATTTTGAGGCTTTGCCTCTTAAAGAGGAGAACTTACTTGCAAGAGAAAGGCAAAAGTATGCCAGGTACAGATTACTGAGGTGTTAATGAGCAGAGTTAATCGGTACCCTCTCTCTGGGACAAAGTTTCTATATTCTGTATGGAGTGTTGCTTAAAGCTGCTAGCCCTTGCTCCAGACTTAATACATTTTACCCTAATACTTCAGTCAGGTAAAGGATTTAATTATTTTAGCTCTGTGCTCTTTCTGTCTCTTCCATGTAACCAGTGGTAATAGCAAGTAGACAGAAGCATGCAAGTGCATGTTTGCCACGCTGACACTACTGCCATGCATAAGGAAGGACGTGCTGGAAACTTTCCTACACTGCAGAGGAACAAATAATTTAAAATGCTGACATCTGGCACTGAACTGGAAGCAATTTCAGGTCTATTTTCTTTTTTCCTCCACAAAAAGGCAGCTGTTACACAGAATGTGTGAAATACAGGGACACCAAGCAATCTGCTTTCTGGAGGATACATTAAATTTAGATTCTTTATCTAAAGCTGTGTATTGAAAGGAGAGCAATCTTATGGGACAGGATTACATCCTAACTTTTAAAAATTGTTTTATGTCTGTTTTCCTGCTTTCCTCTGAGGTTCAGAGCCACAGGAAAAATAATGGTGGGGTTGGTCCCATCCACTTCCTGAAGAGAAAGCAAGACGGAGTAGGAAGTAGCCCAGCTGTGGAAGTGTGTGATTTTGTGGGTGTTTGCTGAGTACAGCATACATGCAATTTAGTTCTTGCACGCAGTCAGCTGTTGTGTCACCATCTGTTTGGACTTTTGTGATGTGTGTAATCCTTTAAATAGCAAAAATGTTGCAGACAGTCCTGTTCTTACTGTTCTTGACTTGTGCTTTATAAACTCCTATGTTTACTTCCATCAGTCTGGTCCTTTATCACAAACACTACAGCTACAAGGTGAGTTTTGTCTAAATAAATCTACCCTTGCAAAGAAAAATATGTACAGTAACACAACAATCTTGCATTATGACTGTGATGGAGGGTCTCATTGTGTATGTTCTAGATTGTCTCTGACCTTTGCTGGCATTTTGGTGTTAGAAGTATGTCATGCTGGGAACAGTAGTCTAAGGGGGAGAGCAATGGGCAAAAAAGAAAATAGTGGTGTGTTATCTACAGACAGTGACAAACTTGCACATGTAATGTACATATTGTATGTTGATCGTGGGGTCAGTTGGGAAAATAAATATGCAAAGAGTGAGGAGGGCCATTTATCAGGGTTGGAAGTGTTTCAGAAGGTTTAGTCTCAGAATAAAAAAAGCGTTGCGTTGCAGGAAACATGTATATAGGCTGTTGTAGTGTTTCAGGGCTGTTTTATCCTTAGGTGCTCTTTTTCCACATAAATTAGATTGCACATGAGATGTTTAACTGTTTATTGGGGTTCTGGAGAACCAAATTTCAGGCATAATGCTTGGTTAGCTCTGCTGCGGTGAGAACTGGTAGATGGCTGACAGGCTGGAAAGCTCCTTCTGGGAGAGGTGATGGCTGAAGGGCTACAGCAGGGCACAGGGCCGTGAGAGGGGTGGCCGTGACTTCAAGTGCTGTGTGTGCAGTAGTAGGGAGCAGTGGAGGCAGCAAGGGGTAGTTTTGTGGGAGGGTTTTGGGCTTTGAGGTTTTTTCATTCTGTGGGTGTAGAAGACTGATCTGTTGTACACTTCAAGAGTTGCATTTAGTTTGTTTTACAGTGGATGTTTATGTTCTGTCCAGACTTAAAACATGACTAAAAGGTAGTACAAGACACCATGGGGCGTTAAAAAAAAAAAAAGCATTCAACTATTTGGAAATGTTTTTAATGGCAATGATTTACAAAACGTCATTAATCTTAGTCATAGCTGGTCCTTTAAACCTGTTATTTAAAGCTGACTGGGTACACACTTTGAGAGCCTCTAGGAAAAGTAGAGATGAGTAACAAGCTTCACCACCAAGGATGAAAAAATGTGTCTCTCAAAAAAAAAAAAAAAAAAAAAAAAAAAAAAAAGCACGATCCTCTGGCAACTACTCTTAAATGAGGGTTAGAAATTTTTTTTCCCAGTATCACATTCCTTGTCTTCCAAAGTTCTTGGCAGGAAAATGTTTGAAGGTTTTGCATAGTTGGTTTACTTAAACTACTTGAATTACCTGGTGGGGCATACGGGGTTACCATAAAATGTTGTGATCGGGTGA